AAATAAATAATTTGCCCCTTGGGCATGCCATAATAGCTATTTGAAACAACATAGTTCGAAATGGCCGCCGTATCGCCCAAAAGGTCTATTATACAACTTGACGAAGTCTTTCTATTACAAAGGAGCTCAGTCAAGTAGTTTGAGTTATTTTGTCCACGTGAAAAATTACCTTTAGCTCTCGGTACAAGAGGAGAGGGGGTGATGGAGCCTCTCCCCTGGGTTTTCGTTCTGTTAAGGCACAGCGACGTAAATTTAATTGATAAGATAGCCCTGAGCTTCCTCTACAAGATGATACGAGTTTTGGTTATGACGGCATGTGACCCGCCCTCTTGAATCTGCCATCTTGGATTTCACTATTTTTTTCAAAAAGTCAAGATATAACCGAAATTAATGCAAACTCAAGCCAAAATGCTTATAAAATGTACAAATTGGTGAATTTCAGCAATTTCATGAAGAAAACTGGAAAAATACAAAATTATGTCAAAACATTTTATTTTTGGCAAAACCTACATGATATTTGCAGTCGCCATGGCAACGTCAAAACTGATAGATACACAAACGACATATCAGAATTTTCGCAGAGGAGGAATGAACAGCTACTGAAAGTTTTAACCCCTAGAGTATATCTTCATTTCGATACAGTCGAACCTCCGGTTGCGACCATCTCTCGTAAGCGACCACCTCTTCTCAGCTACCAGTTTTCCAAAATACCAAAAGTTTTCAAGTCAAATAACTATATTTGGAACCTCTTATAAGCGACTACCTCTCGTAAGAGACTGCGACCACTTTTAGAGCTAAAACTTTAATTTTTTTGTTTTTGTTTTTAGCCTCCCGTAAGCGACCACTTGACAGATAATAGTACAAAAATTGCATGATAAAACGTTATAACATTATCGCATTCCTTGGTAGCAAGAGACGGAAATTTCTCATTTGGAAGTGCTGGATTTTTTTCCTCGAAATTGACTTTTCACAGGAATAAAACGTTTAAAACAAGGGGTAAGTCTCTGCAGTTTACCATATGCTAATGAGGCCAATTTTTGACCCAATATGGTCTAAGCTCTCGTAAACGACCACCTCCCTTAGACGACCACCTAGGCTTGACATTTTGGGTGGTCGCTTACGG